CTAAAGTACAGTCAATAACCACAAAAATAGACAAGTGGGATCCTATCAAGCTAAAAAGCTTCCTTACAACAAAGGAAACAACAATTAGAATGAAGACAACCCTCAGGGGCCAGTGGGTGACGCAGTGGTTAAGTCAATGGAATTCCCATATGGCCGACCACAGTTTGAGTCCCAGACCTAGCGGCTTTCTTTCTCTCTCTCTCTCTCTCTCTCTCTCTCTCTCTCTCTCTCTGCTTCTCTCTCTTTCTTTCTCTGGCAAAATTCATATAAAAATAATTAATTAATTAATTAATTAATTAATTCTAAAAGAAAAGAAAATACAACCAACCCTCAGAATAAGTAGGGAACTCAAGCAATTCATCCACAAAAAAAAAAAAAAAAAAAAAAAAAAAAAAAAAAAAATCCAAATTAAAAACAGGCAAATGAACTAAACTGGACAACTCTCCAAGGCATACTTTAGAATGGCTAAAAGGCATATGAAAAAATGGTCACTCTTGGGCCACCATTTTCTGGTGGTTAAAGGCACTGGATTCCCATATGGCTGACCACAGTTTGAATTCCAGACCTGGCAGCCTACTTTCTCACTTTCCCTTTCTCTCCCTCTCTCTGTCTCTCTCTGATCAAATTTAAAAAATAATAATAACAAATGGAATTAAATAAATCTTTCTTTGCAACTAAAGTATGAATTTATTTTGGTACAATAACTTTTTGAAATTCATACATACTTTTCCCATTACATGTATTTCCATGAAACTTTCTTTAATTAATTAATTTACAATCATTCCCTAAGCATCATCACAGAATAGTAAATGTGAATTCCCATCCAGAATATATTGCATAGTGGCTTAATCATGCATGTTATCGTCAATAATTTTCCATTTCTAGTTTCATATATATATATATATATATACACACACACACACACACACACACACACACCTACATATATATTACCCCTATTTCTGACCCTCTGCCCTTTTCCACCCTCCTCCCACACTATTTCTGGTGTCTACAGTTGTTTTCCATTCCTTTTTCCCCCACATTTTATTGATCACACAATTTCTTAAATAATCTAACTAGTTTGAAGAAAGCAGTTTTAACTTTAATAAATCAAAGAAATGCTAAGGAACTTTGCTTAAAACTTAAAGCCAGGAAACAGGTTAGGATTCTGTTCAAGTAGTAGGTACATGAATCTATCAACAGCTCAAGACAGGACAAAATCCTTAAAACCGGAAAACAAAGCCTAGAAGAAAATCAGCAATGTTTTAGTCAAAAGTCATAAAATGCTATTTCACCAGTTCAGTCTCACGTATTTAATCTATCTTTTGATGTGGTTTGATCTTCCCAATTAAATTCTGAGATATAACATTTAACTCCAGACTTGTCCCTGCAATTAAGTTGGTCATTTTCTTAGATTTCAAACTCCTATATCTGTGTGTCTCTATTTAATTTTCCTGATATAACATCCTTTGAGAACTTCTTGGAGATCTGGTCTGGTGTTGGTAAATTCTTTCGGGTTTTGTTTATCTGAGAATGTTCTTGTATTTCTTCCCCATATGAAAGATAAACTTGTCGGGTACAGTATTCTTGTTTGAAATTGCTTTTCCCTTAACACTTTGAATATATTTTCCCATCCTTTCCTCACTCGCATTGTTTCTGACGAGAAGTCTGCTGTTGACCTGATGAAATATCCTTTGTAGGTAACTGGCCATTTTTTGTTTTGGTTTTTTAATTTTTTTTTTAATTTTTTTATTCATACATTAAATTGCTATACATTATTTAGATTGCGAACACACTTTACCCAGCATGATATACAGCTCAGTCCAGCCCAGTTGAGACCACCATACACATCCTCATCAAGAGATAATAAACCTTATCTGTGTCCCACAAGTGTCTTACCTCTCCACTTCCCCCCCATTTCCTAC